GAGGAACCGGCCGCAGACAATATCCCATCCTCAGAGTCCACGGTCAGTGGTGGGGTAGTGGTGGCGGCCGCACCTAGGATAGAATGCAGTGCCTCGTAGAAACAGGATGTGTGGGGCTGGGATCCGGAATGTCCGTTTGCCTCTTTGGTCTTCTGGTAGCCTTGTCTCAGTTCCTTGATTTTCACGCGGCACTGCGTTGCATCCCGGCTGTATCCTCTCTCTGCCATGGCTTTAGAGATCTTCTCGTAGGTCTTTGCATTCCGTCTTTTGGAGCGCAGCTCGGCAAGCACGGACTCATCTCCCCACACAGCGATGAGATCCAAGACTTCCCGATCAGTCCATGCTGGGGCCCTCTTTCTAGTCTGGGATTGCACGGCCATCTCTGCTGGAGAGCTCTGCATCTTTGCCACTGCTGCTGAGCTCGCCACGGTGTCCAAACAGAAACTGCGATTCAAACTGCCCAGACAGGAAAAGGAATTCAAATTTTCCCGGGGTGTGGCTGGTCAGAGCATCCGAGCTCGGACTGCTGTCCAGAGCGTCAACAGAGTGTTGCACTGTGGGATAGCTCCCGGAGCTATTAGCGTCGATTTCCATCCACACCTAGCCTAATTCGACATGGCCATGTCGAATTTAGCGCTACTCCCCTCGTTGGGGAGGATTACAGAAATTGATTTAAAGAGAGCTCTATGTCGAACTAAATGGCCTCGTGGTGTGGACGGGTGCAGGGTTAAGTCGATGTAACGGTGCTAAAGTCGACATAAACGCCTAGTGTAGACCAGGCCTTAGAGGTTTACACTACTGAGAATAAAATAGGCAACTCTTAAAGTGTTTGAGGTCATAAACATTATAAAATGGGACTCCATAAAGAGATACATTTTAAAAAAATGCAAAATGGTCGTTTCATTCTTGGCAGGGTTTGTTTCAGAGGAGTAGCACGTAGTTGAAAAAGCACTTTACTAAGTAGCTGCAGCCAAAGGAGGATTTCAAACCAGTGGGAGCCCAGTTGCCTGGTCCCCCTCTCTCTACACAGTGTGGCTGTGTATGTGTCATATAATTGAATTGCATGGGGTGAAAGGTAACAGACAACCAGTACACTACACAAGAATGGAGGGAGCCGAAATGTTGACCAAAGACACCAAGGCTAACCCCTTCTCTTACAAAAAGTGTTAAAGGATCTTGAACGTTCATGCAAAGCAGATAGATTCCTATCCAATATACATAGCAGCACCACCACAAAGCAAAACAGGGAGCCAAAGTGACTGTATTCCATTGTTATGTACATAATCCTGGATTTGAGGGCAAATTCAATAGTGTAGTCATAGTAGAATATATATGTACCTCGTTCAGTCAATCTGATTGTTCACTCAGTCTTGCCCAACTCTCTGTGCAGTCCTTTGGATGCAAGCACCAAATGTGGCATGCAGACAAGAGTTAAAATGCAGTGACCAAGAAATCATAGTCTTCCTGTATGTCTTAGTGAGATAAATAGAAATGAAAATTGAACAATTATGTTAAAAAAATCTCTATATCTTTATCTTCTATCTCCATTTGAATCTTGTGCGCCTCTCTCTTGACTGCTAGATGTTGCTGCTAGCCTAATGGTAAATATATCACTACTTGAAAGGATCACCTCCAGGTGTTAAATAGTCCATCCTCGGCATTCAGTCATGCCTTGATCTGAGATGGCTTGTGAGGGTGGTTATGATTTTTTGTGCTGTAGACCCAAGCCCACTTTAAACTGAGTGGAGTAGTGTTGTAGCTGTATTAGTCCCAGGATATTAGAGAGATGGAACAGATTGTTTAGCATAAGTAGTTAACGCATATTTCAAGGGACTATTCAAGGTGAATGTGTTAACTACTTATGCTAAACAATCTGTTCCATCTCTCTAATATCCTGGGACTAACAGCTACAACACTGCATACATTTGGTTAACACATTCACCTTGAATAGTCCCTTGAAATATGCGTTAACTACTTATGCTAAACAATCTGTTCCATCTCCTATTTAGCATTACACTCTGAGTAAGGCTCTGTCTACACTACACAGCTTTTAGTGACATGGCCGTGTCTCTACAGCCGTGCCACTAAAAGTCGCACCATGTAGCCACTGTTTGTCGGCTCTCCTGCCAACAAAAAAAGTCCACCCCCAACGAGCGGCATTTGCGTTGTCAGCAGGAGAACAAAATGTTTCTTTTGGGAGGGGCGGGGGTTAACACCTCTGAAAGACAAAAGTTTTGTCGTTCAATTGCCAGTGGTGACATAGCCTCAGTTTCCCAGACCTGAAGAAAAGCTTTGTGTAAACTCTGAAGATGACCAGTCATTTCACACTGATTATCAGTAGGCCTCAGTTGGTAACAGCTGTCATCCAAGAGCAGAAAGGGCATGGGATGCAGAGTCTGAGCATTTACTGCACCGTAAAAATAATTTTATTTTAAGCATTTCCAAAAATGTATGTAAACCAAGTCTGCAGTTACGGGCAGAGAAGATGAAGATCAAAAAAAGGGGATTTCCAGAAACTTTTAATGTAGAGTGTTAGTGACCAAACTCTACACCAGTCTGTATGCTTAGCTAAAATAAAAGTCAAACATCGATTGATTTTAGGAATGTACATTTTACTGCGATTTTTTTTTTTTTGCAAAGATTATTTTAAAAACAGGAGATTAAATACTTAGATTTGTTCAGCAGGCCCTAGTGGCCTTACTATTGCTCTCTATTTAGGACAGAGGTGGGCAAACTACTGCCCGCGGGACCCTCTTGCCCGGCCCCTGAGCTCCTGGCCCGGGAGGCTCACTCCCGGCCCCTCCCCCACTGTTCCTCCTCCCCCGCAGCCTCAGCGCGCTGGCACAATGCTCTGGGCGGCGGTGCTGCAGAGCCACGGCCTGACCCGGTGCTCTGTACTGCGCGGTGGTGTGGCTGGCTCCAGCCGGGCGGCAGGATTTGCCTGTCCTGTTGCTCTGGGCGGTGCAGCTGTAGTGCCACCAGCCACTGGTGCTCCAGGCAGCGCGGTAAGGGGGCAGGAAGCAGGGGAGGTTGAATAGAGGGCAGGGGAGTTCAGGGTGGTGGCCAGGGGACGGGAGTGTGGATAGGGGGTGGGACTGTCAGAGGGCGGGGAACAGGGGGGTTGAATGGGGGCGGGGTACCCGGGGGGCAGTCAGGAATGAGAGGAGGGGTTGGATGGGGTGGCGGGGGGCAGTCAGGGGCGGGAGGTCCAGGGGCGGTCAGGGGACAGGGAGGGTTGGATGGTGCAGGAGTCCCAGGGGGGCCATCAGGGAGTGAGAAGCGGGGGAGAGGGGGGATGGATGGGGGCGGGGGCCAGACCACGCCTGGCTGTTTGGGGAAGCACAGCCTACCCTAACTGGCCTCCATACAATTTTGAAAACCCGATGTGGCCCTCAGGCCTGAAAGTTTGCCTGCCCCTGATTTAGGAGTGGGTGAAGGGAGCCCTACAAAACATAATGCCTTTACAAAACAAACTTCATTTTTTACTACATTAGGTTTAATAGGTATAATTTCTAATTTAGAAAACAAAAGTGGCACTGTAATACTTAATAGGTAACATAAATGGGGAAATAGATAATTTTGGGAGTTAACCACTTCCTTACTGGTGTACTCTGCATAGTTTAGCAGATAAAATAGAAACCACCTCAATGCCAACATTTATATATATAAAAACATAAACTTCACTAAAGTTAGGGTCTTAAATAAGTGGCCTGATTTTTAAAAAGTGCTGAGCACCCAACAGCTCATTTGTATGTCAGTTTTGGAGAAATCCCTTTGACAGAATAGAAGGGGATTGATAGTAAACGATATATGGGGATTCGTCCTGCTTTGAGCAAGGGGTTAGACTAGATGGTCTCCTAAGGTCCCTTCCAACCCTGATATTCTATGATTCTATGTACTGGGATTTTTTCCCACTGACCGCAAAATGTCGTCATGTGCTCCACGCACATTCATCAGGCAGGACTTTGATCTGCCAGTGAAAAAGATGTTCTCCATTTTTTCATAAGAGATGGATCTGAGCTACAGAGTTCAGATTCTCCAAATACAGCTGTTTGAATCTGAACATCTCTTTTTCCCCCCCACCCCTCTATTCTCTATAGAGCAACATCCAACATAGCTTTTTCTTTTTGATTTTTCTGTTGTCCTAAACATAATTGATGGGGAGTTATCTATGATGTTGGCAAAAGTCTGGTGACAGAGTTTTAGTTAATTTGTGCTCCCTCTTTTGGATGATTGTCACTGTAGCAGCAAAACAATATTTCAGGGTCATTCATTGACAGGAATTACTGTCTCTCTTACAGTTTCTGTAATTATATTTCCCTCAGAGCATAAAGTATTGGTCAAGTTTTGAACTTTGGCTTTGCGGTTGCATCCCTTTAACTACATGGGGCTCAATCTTGCACGATTTACATGAGTAGTCCAATAGGAGTCAATGCTATGAAGTCAGTTGGACTGCTCACATGGTTAGGGATAACTCTTTTATTTATAATGCTTACAAGATTGAGTCCTTGACTTATAAAGAAGCTTTAGAGGTGTCAGTATTAGATGTTTGGAAGATCTGCATGTGTTAAACAATCAGTAGACAATCTTTTCACAATGTTACTTCATTTAAAATAAAAGACATGGTGGGATTTCCAAAGGTTCTGTTTAACTTTCGACAAGAATCTATATGAAGATTACCAGTAAAACTAAAAGGTGAAGTTTCAAGAGTGTAGTGTGTGAATATGCTGATTCAGCAATTTCAGCAGGCCACATTTGAATTTAAAGACAACTGTGGGAGTGACCAATTGCTTTGCAATGGGGAAGGGGTGATGTAAGATGACACCTTAAAACAGTCTATGTCACTCAGTGGTAGTCTGTTCTGGCAGGTCTCCATTTAAAGGTGTTTTCAGTTGGGTGAAAAAACCAAAATAAAATACAGACTCTAGCTACAGAGAAGAAGTGGACGAATAAGAGAAACTAAAAATTAGAGGTTCTTTATTCAATGTTTTTTTTTCTAGGTTCTACATGGGAGAAAACATTACGACAGATCGGTTTTGAAAGGTAAGCAGTGAATTTATCTCCTATGCATGTTACTGCTTAAAATACAAACAAAAAAAGAGATGCGCGCACACAGGTTGGCAAAGTTATTTACGTTGATTGATCTACATTATCTGGGATGTCAAAGTTAGGGGGAGTGGTATGCAGAGTTACTGGCAGGTTCACAACTTTCATTTTTAACTATATCTGTGATGATCATGGAGCACAAGGTTCTTTTGTAAATCTGGCTCACAATAATTTCATTTGGGAGCAACATAATGTACTAGGGTTAAAGTAGGCTTCATAGAGTATTTGGTTTGAAGTCTTACCGCTGAATGAAGGTATTGCTGCTTTCCTATATTTTTCATAAGACTTCTGAACTATGGCATATTAACTAACAAAAACGAATGAATGTGGAAAAGGAACACGATTGGCAAAGCACTATTTAACATCGGAGAAAAATCCGGAATTCAGCATTCCTGAAGTGCAAAGCCTTCTTTCAGCCAAACATAACCACAAGGTGGTCATACCAGAAACGTATGTCTCTCTTGGAACTTAAACTAGGCCAGGCCTTGCTAAAGAGTAATCTGTTCTCAAGACTGGAAATACTCAGTCCCCTATATGCCCATCTACAGACATGAAGCAGAGTTATCTGCTTCCTGTCCATATAGAGCTTTGATCTTCTGTCTAAACCAAATATTTCTAGACTGCACCAGAGTGTGGTAGGGCAAGGCATGGGGCCACTATGAACTGGACTAGATATGTATGAGAGAAGGGGAGCGTTGTCTTTTAACATTACGCATAGGCTGCCTGGTGCCAAGAACATAGATGGCCTTTTCAAAGCCAGGGTGGCGTTGAGGAGAGGAAAGCCTTTCCTTTTCATTGTCTCCACTTAGTATCATCTTTCTAGCTGCTCTCACTTTTATTGCCTTGTTGCTTAATTTAAACAACTTGCCTGTATTTAAGTTAATGGCTAGTTCATTGAACCAGAATGAAACTATTCTGCACAAGGCATAAATTGGTGCCTTAGAGCTTTTCTATTACAATAAAATGTATCTTTAAATTTAAACCTCTCCCTTGATTAAAATCCTCAGACATTAATAACAATAAATGAAAGGCGGCTCTAGTCACTCTTGTCTAAAAGCATTCCACTTCACTAATTCCTCCTGAGCACATAAATTGACTGAACACTGAACCACTGTAGTATCAGCAAATGTAAGGGGTGGATCAATACTACCATTAAACAACTTGCCCTCAGGACTTCAAGGACAGTGTCCCAGAGTCATTGCCCAGATTTATTCTTAAGGCTCAGCATTAAAAGTTATTTGGAAATAGAGACTCTGAAAGTTGTCCACACATTTCTCTACAGCTTCATTTTTTTTTTGAAGTTTACAAAGAACTGATGATACCCTTATTGATCTATTTTTAAAACATAATAATTTTGAAAGCATCTTCATTGTATGAATTTAACGAAATGTAGGCCCATTGTATTTATTCTGTGGTATATTTAATTATATATTATTTCAGTGGTAGGCTTACTTCTGTAAAGACTGGAGGATCACATACAGGGCGTTTGTACTATTTTTGGCAGGGGACAATTCAGGGAAAGAATTCATTTTTATTTTAATGCCTTCAGAGTATTAACTATTTGCAGGGTATATGTTGAAACACTATTTTCCCAAGAAGTTAAAAGGACTGAGGGGAAGAAGTTATAATTTTGAATCTTTGCAGCAGTAAAAGTCACCGTTTGATTTGCCTTTTTACAACTTCTGACAACATATATAAATAGCATTGCTGAAAAATACCATAGGTCCTGGTTGAAGCAACATGATTGAATATTCACTGAAGAAGTAACTAAGGATTCATGGCAACATATGTATTTTAGTAATGTGTTTTAATTTTCAGTCCCTTGGGGAGAAATTGTCAATTTAATGCACTGAATAAATTAAAACAAAACAAACTACTACCCATCACTAAATTTAAAAAAATGGGCCAAATTCATCTCTTGGGTAAATAATATATATTATTATACCTATTATGAGTTTGGCCCAACATTTTTAATCTGCCAAAAATATTGATTGCATTGTCCCATGTTTTTAACAGGAGTTAAACAGGAAATGTGGGAGATGAGATGGTCTACTAATAATTTAGTAGGTAAACAATCATTCTGGCCTGCAGAAGTCTCACTTCGCCAGCCAACCCTTTAAGGGAAGACAGTCTATGTAATGGTGAATTACTTTTTAAACTTTTAGTGAGGATTTTATGCCTCTGAAAAATTAAGAAAAGCATTGGATATGGGGTGTTTCATTTTTCTTTCAGAGAGTTGTCATGTCTCGAAGTTTGCTGAACTCTGTCTTCAGGCCTCAGATCTCAGTATCTTAAAACCCCTTTTTTTCTAACTATATTTAAATTCAAGATTAATGGCTGCCCTTGGTTGCTTTCTAAATCTTCCTCCTGTGGATGAATTGCTCAGAATAGAGAAATAGCTTGTTGACTGAGTTTAAAAAAAAAAAAAAAAAAAGTCTTGAGGAGCAGGGTCCTGGAAATAATTATCAAGATAGGCCACAGAATTCTCTTCCTATCTTCTTCAGACTGCTTTTTCCCATCCTCCTGTCTATGCTAGACTCTAGAAAGAGACAATTCAGCACATATTATGCCAGTGGATAGATCAGAGTTTTAGAGCTTGTTTCCATTGCAGAAAAGGTCTTATGTGCACAATTTTATTTCAGAGCTTCTCAAAAGTCAGAAACACTGAGACTTGTTTTGATCTGAAAACCATCCAGGATTTCATTCCAGGATGGATCATACCATGAAAAATTTAAAAACTTCTGTCCACTCATTTTCATGTAGTCATTTGGCCTAATTCTTCAGTTTTCTATAATCACTTACAAGAACCTTAATTGTAATGCAGTACACTGGACCTTTTTGTAGTGTGGGGATCATTCTGGTTTTAACATTACTTAAATTATAATTATAATTCCCTTTTATTATATTCTGAGTTTATTATATTTAGTTTATCATCATTCATTAAAATCATTCAGGCTTTCAGTTAAGATCATGAATTAGATCTGAAGTTCATTATTTGTGACATCTGACAGGATCTTGTCCATGTATAGGCAGACTGTTTTTACAGTGTAGTAAGTCTGGAAGATATAAAACACATTGGTCCGTTACAGAAATTATGCATTTTCAGTTGTTAGGACTAACAGCATTGGATGCATCTTTTCTGTAGTGTTGTGCTGCTCTTCCCACAAGTTAAATCTAATTTTATTTCTTAAAAGGCTTTTTATTTAGCATGATATTCAGTCTATGGTGCAAAACAGGGAAATACTGACTCTTTCATTGCTACAGTTTTCTTTAAAGTTTATCACTTGCTGCTGCTATTTTCCCAAATCATGCCAAAGTGGGAAAACGGTAGTTTCAACTAAAGATAAAATGTATGGCAGGCTCGAACCTGTCAGGGATTAGAAATACAAAGGGCACAGTAATATAGATTACTTATTTTAGGTTTTACGTATAGTGCTCATTAGAAGCTGCTAGTATTTAGAAAAGATTACTATCTTGTCAGTAGGTGTAGTCATGGAGAAAAGGACTTGTGGAAGACATCAACAATCTAATAATAATAATAGTCTTCTGTATATTTCATGAGATAAGAGCCTCAAAGCATTCAATTGGAATGGATAGTGGATTTTGGAAAATAAAATCCATTCTGATCATTTCTATTGTAGACAAGATACTAACATGCTCTCATTTGTTCAACAATACACAATTCTCACTGTAGAAGATGGCCTTGTGAAGAATCTGAATATGTTCATGTATGCCAGGAAATTAGGTGTTCTCCTAGGGCAACATTTGTATTTCAGTTACACTGATTTAATTAAATAATTTAATTGAATAATTTAATTGAAGCCAATGTATTTGGTCCTTGATGTGTCATCCACATGCAGGAATTTTCTCTCTGTCAGTTCAGATGGGCATGGAAGAACAAAACAACCTCTTTCCCCCAACTCTTAAATGAGTTGAACATTTAAGCCAGTTTTGTTCAACAGAATCTCCATACTTTTTCCTGGTGTTTTCAAACAGTCTTCTTTATAGGACTTTCTTGATTTTATGAACATCAGGTGTTCTTACAGGAAACTAGCTCATATTTTATTAAGTGATCTGTCAGAAACATACTTTGGAGGTTCAGTGTTTGTTTTTTGTAAGCAATGTCTTGGTTTTGAAGTTTTTCATTGTTTAAAACAGCAGTATTCTCCTATGAACAGTGCTTTCCAAAGTAGGCAGAGGGAGAATCAGGTACCGGTGGGTACACCACATTGTAAACAATCTTTTGATGCCTGTAATACCTATAGCTTGAATTGTAAATAGGAATGAGATATGAATACAGAGAGGAGAATCTTCACCATTTGCAAGCACATCCCTCACAAGGTGTGGACTAAGGTGTAGAGCTGTGTAGATGCACTGTCATTGGCACAGATAAGAGTTTGCTTTTCCCAGAATGCAGGCAGGTTTTAAGATGTATGGGGGAAGGTCAGTCCTCAGAATCATGGCTTTAAGAGGGCTAGACCAGTACTTAAAGTATGGGAAACCTGTATGGAAAGAAGAATGTAGGTCCCTTTCTTACTGCGACATTTCAGATTAGCTTGATTGACAGAAGGAAATGAAGACACTGAGTATACATTTCAGGAAATTAGGCCCTGATAATATACAGGGCATGTCATTGTTACTTTGTGGTTACATGATGTTTACTCTGCAGTTGAGTATTTACATTGCTGTTGTATTTGTATCCTGCAAAACAAAGAGACACCAAGAGATCTGGTTGTCTGAGCCTTTATGTAAGCACTCCTTGTGAGTCCAACATGCTGCTTTTTAGCATGAGATAAATTAAAAATGCCGGAGCTTAAGTAAAGTAGCTTTATATCCAGGAAATGACTAGAGTTAAGAGCCTTTCAATTAAATGGAGTGTATCTGGGTTTGACAGATTTAAATGAAGCTCTTATTGTTATTGATTGGGTTTTTTGGTT